AGGAAGGGCACTGCTGAATAATAGCAGAAGCCTCATTTGCAGTAATGCCAAATTGTTTCATGAGCGCTTCCTTTGTTTCGGACTAATAAAAAAGCCTCCCGGGCATTGCTCGGGGCCAAAGCTTATCACAAGAAGGATTTGTCCGGTGTTCTTTCTTCTCATTCGGCTACAAGCATAAGCGGCCCATCAGAAGCGTGGAAAAGCCGCAACAAAACCTGGTTTTGGTGAGGATAACTGATATGTCATACTTCTTTCTCTTGTTCCCCTCTAGATTTCTTTTCTGTTCCATCATTCTTCCTTTGTCTTCTGCTGTTTTTGTGTTTTCAACCATATGGACAAGTCTGTGAAGTTTCTTGGCAACATTACAGAAATGGTTTGCCACTTCCTTTTTCCATAACTTTTTATTTTTTATTTTCCCATAGTCTTGGGATATCTCAATGGTCTCCCAACTGGTAATGCTTTTTCAGGATTATCTAGTGCTAAATAATGTTACTTTTGTGCTTTTGTATTGTTCTGGCTAGTAATTTTTATATTCTATAGCCTACATTGTACCTTATTGCACAATATTTGCCTATTTTAGGCTGTGTTGATCTTTAGATCTATTGCAGAAGTTTTATAGCAGTGTTATGATGTTTATAAAATCTGCAACGTTAGAATATTTGTTTTATAATGCATCTAGTATAATAATTAAAGAAATTTCAAGATAACACAGTTCCGGTATCATATATCTACTAGTACCCATGTATATACAAGAAAACTGGTGGGTGTAATTTTAATTACCTTCTAACATTTTAGATTCTGATTTGACCAGAGGAAATAAGGCTAACATGTTTCAAAATATGTGCAAAAATCTAGTAACTAAACCAAAATGGCACCTTAGCAGTGAATTTTTGAAGCAACATGCCAATTGTCTCACATTCATTCATGTTCCTACCCATGAAGATGCCATTGCCAAAATGTCCATTATAAGTTCCACCTTTTGGTACTTGCATCATGGCATTGTACATAAATACATACTTTGTCACAATCCATGTTTTGCCACTTGCCCTGCCAGGATAAAGCTGTAGACATAGTGAATTTACATGAACAATCTGTCTCATTTCCATGCAAATGTGCAGAGGCAAGCCTTCATTGGTTACATCCTGTTCAACTCTGGATTCTGAAATATTTTTTTTCTAGAACAGCTCAGCAT